CAATCCTAGAAAACGTTGCAAATCCTGACTTTGTCCATTTATAGCAGCTAGAATTTGATTAACAGGTGCACATTCTGTGATTGCAGACTAGTGAAGGGATTAGCATTTGAGAAATAGATGCTATATGATGCTCTTTAGCTTTTAGTGTTCTTTTTGCTTATTTAACAATGATGCTGAATAACATCAAAAATCCTTTATCAAGAGGAGCAGCCGAGGCTTAACCAGAGGCCCACTTTGCAATTTAGGGTTTTGCCAGAAACACAAGAGTGCACCTACTCTGACGAACTTAAGCCTACCTGATTTTTAGTGCAAGCAGCGAATGAAAGTGGCAGTTCACCCCAGTACATTTGACTGAAACTGCTTATTTCAATGAGAGAATGGAGGTAACATCAAAGTAACTTACCCTGTATATCGAGTGTGTTGCACGAGGTCTACCCATTCATGCTCGAGTGAATCCGTGCGAGATGCTTTCTGATCGTCAGCGCAAAAGAAAGAACCGTAACACCTGAACTTACACTTTAGTGAAAACAACTTGGTCGCATTTTCTAATGCTTAAAGGTGAAGTTTGGTAGATTTTAGCTCAACGAAACCCGTTTTATTTTTTAAAAACTCATAAAGTTTCAGTAATACTACATAACTATTTTTGATTTGAGAGGCTAATACCTGGTTCTACACAACTTACATGTTATAAGCTTACGCTTTTTATGGACAAACCAGGAATGATTTCGGAAAAACTCAACTCTTAAATAGCAAAAAGTCCCAAAAACTTCGAAATAAGTGCAAACTCTTTGTACAAAGGCTGACATTTAGACTCAATAATAAAAAAAGCTATTGTGCGCTACCAAACTATGTCCAACCAAAAGGGTGAAGGTTCGCTTTCAACCCTGTACGCATTTCCCTATTCATATTCATCTCCTCAAAAGTCAAATCATACATAGAAAGAATTTAGTTATTTTATTATAACCACTATTTAATGTTGTCAAAATTTTTTCTGACTCTGCTGTTTCCTAGACGATAATTCTCACTAGCCAAAGCAAACTCGAAACCAAGGCTTGCACTTATTTGAATTCAAATTTCCAAAAGCAAACGCATTTCTAGAATTCGAACCGAGGATAGTTGGTTTAAAACGCACATCTGGTATGTGGCTGAGAAGTTTTGATTACTTTACTCGTTATGATATTCTATTAACTATAAGACTTAAACAACGGATAAACCTAAGTTCTGTAATAAATGCAGAATTTGCTTATCAACAGAGAAAAGTTACAAAAATCTTAGGCTAAAACTGCGATCAACAATATGCGGCTCATGTCAGACAGTTTGCTTAGAGATGCGCCGGTCCAGTTTCTCAATGAACTTCTGTTTTAAAATCACATTTCTCTGTTTGATAATCTGGTAATAATACAGGTGCGATAGTTGCCTGCAAACTCTGCGTAATGCCATCGAGAAGATTGCATACCTCTGGTGAACATCGGCTCCCTTCTTGCAAAGGAAATAAACCATTTCAACATCCTCATTAACTATTGCTTGATGAAGAGGGGAGAGACCTGAGGCGAAACTTTGGCAGAAAAAAAAAACATGACAATGAGAAAAAACGAAAGCATTTACCATAATAATCTTCTGAGATAAAAATATCATTTATGAGCTTTGGAAAGCGAATTACAATTTGTTTCGCAAGATCATTCATGTCGGCGGTGTTATGGAGCAAACAGATGTGGAGAAGATTTTCACCCATTTTACCTCAAACACTAATTTTCATTTCGATTGTTTGAATTGATTATTATAAGTACCTCTATGTTCGATATCCCAAACAAGTTCTCTATATTTAAAAGCCTTCATGCCACGCGCACTTGATCCATCAAGGATTTTTAGCGCTAAAAATTGAATCAAGGAAAGAAAAAGAGAACAGTTGAGTATACCTTTGAGGAAGTCACTGGCATCCAGCCTGTCTTGGTTAATATCATCCAAAATATTAGGTCCGCTTTTGCCTCTGCCCTTCTTCCTTCGCAGAGCACCGAGTTGAGCATTTCTCTGAACCGAGAAAGGTTGAACAGTCTGATTTTTGCGCTTGAAGGACAAACCTGCTTGTTTCTTCTTTTGACCAGTTCAGAAATTGATACAAGTTTTCCCTTCCCTCCATTATATAGGTAGGATTTCACCTAGAAAACTCAATTTTGTAGCCGTTCAAAAGAACTTTTTTTTTTGTAAAATCTTTGCTAGCGATAGCTGTGCCGTAGGACTAAGGGTGTGAAGGCGTTAGTGTATGAAGGCTGTGCCGCTTTATCTGAGACATTTTTATATGCTGGCTCGTCTCATTTTCTGATTGCGGTTAAGTCGCCAGTAATAGTGTAGCACATGAAGCATTGAACATAGAATTAAGGAAAACCCCGAATTTCAGCATGTAGTCATTTAACTCGTTGACGGACATTTGCCCATATGAGAGGTACATCTCCTTGCTTAGAGTAGATTTTTTGGCTAGCAGAATGGTTATGCATGAAGCTAGAAAGGAGTACTTTATGTGAGAAGTAAGACAAAGTTTGAAAAAAACTTCAATATAACATAAATTGCCGAGATAAGATGCCAGTTTGAGCAGTTTATTTTACCTTGTTGAGTTAAAGGTTAGATTTTTAAGTAACCTTGGCGTAAAAGAGGCTGTGCAACATTTTTGTTCGAACAGCAATTGCTTTTTCTCAAATACACCTAAGTAGTTTGACTAAAGGATACCTTTTCATTTCTTAAGCAATCTAATTACGAGATTGCCTCTGGCACTTAATCTTCTAAACAATCTCAACGATAGCCCGAATTGATGAGTGGTGATGCATTAGAGTTCTTTTTCTCTCAATCACGAAAAGGATAGATGATAAAACACTTCATGAAATTGTGCCAAGTAGCACGCACATAATGGTTTGAAACAACTAGTTATAGCTAAGATTTGCAGAAACTTTCAAGAAAAATAATGGTCAACACTGCACGCATAATTTAATTTCGCTCCACTTTGATGAGAAACGTACAGCAGTGTCCAGGTATTCCTCTAAAATACTGTAATCTCCGGATGAACGCGAATATTTGATCCATGGCGCAAGCAAGCCGCCAGCATGCTCATCGACTAGCGAGTACAACGATGATGGAACATCAGACGAGTTGAAGGACATCTGCAAATGAAAAATTGAGTAACCTTTTGTCAAGATCTAGCCGCTCTTAAAGAAAAAAGAAGAAGACTGATATTACTCTCTCCATTGGCATTACGCTGTTCCAATTAAAAGGAGCTCAAAGG